GCTACGGCCCCGCCCATGGGGGCGCCGCGCCACCCAATCAAGAGAAGCAGCTGGCGAGCGAGGCCAATCAGAAGTTTCCGGAGTGTGCCAGCCGTGGGAAAAGAACCGCGCCGGAGTTCGGAGTCTGGCGGCGCGGTTGTGGGCGGGACGCGAGGCCTGACGGGCAGCGCGTTAGACCAATGGCGAGGCGCGGGGGGCGGCTGGGGGCGGTAGGCCCAAGGGACCCGGGTGAATGGGTCGCTTTGTAAGGGAAGATGAATGGGGGCCTTTGTGAGTGCCGCGTGGGGGGGGCCGGCTGGAGGCCGGAATGCCTGGGTCCCCCGGGAGCTGGCGGGCAGCAGAGACCGGAGAGAGAATTCACTTTTGTCGAACGCCGACCGCGTACCAGGCACTCTCCCAGGCTCTCACCCACCGGGGAGATGTGGGCAGTACCGTCCGTAATAATGATCATTCACTGAGTGCCCGGTGTATGCCAGGAGCTGTGCTAAGCGCTTTACCTGCATGATCTCATGTTATTCCTTACAACTCCCCTTTGGAATTGATGCTATTAAGATCTTCATCTTGCAGATGAGGTAAACCGAAGCTTAGAAAGAGGGTGTTAGTTGCAGAAAGTGACGGAGCTGGCAAGTGGCAAAGCAAGAACTCGGATCCCACTAAACCTGACTTCAAAAATTCTGCTCTTTTTTTTTTTTTATTTCAGCAGGAAGCTATTCATTCATTCATTCATTCATTCATTCATTGTTAATCCTCACCGGAGGATACTGGAGTCGAACCTCCTCCGGCCCACTCTCTATCCACTGAGCCAAACCAGCGAGGGCCAGAACTTCTGCCCTTAACCGCCATGCTACACCCAAACGTTGGTTAATGGTCCCCAATTGACAGATGGGAAAACAAGCTCAAGAGAAGTCAGGCAGCTTCTCAAAGTCACAAAGAAAAGGCTCTGCTGAACCCCGAGGCGGTGACCACGAGTGCAGCTAACCTGTGGCTGGTGAGCCCTGCACCCCTGGTCTTTGAGCTGTGTCCCCATGTTACAGGTGGTCACTGAGGCTCCAGTCTGCCAGCCTGGCCCTGCTGTTCACCAGCTGTGTGGGCTTGGGCCAGCTGCTGGCCTCTTTTGAGGTTCCATTTATTCCTGCATCTGTAGAATGGGGGTGAAGGCTCTCTGCCTCCACTCTGACAACCCCCCAAACACAGAGACTGTCTACTGCCTATGGGATCCTGGTAAACTTTATTCTGACAGCTCCCCTCCTCTGTTTAGAACAGTGGTTCTCAACCTTCCTAATGCCGCAACCCTTTAATACAGTTCCTCATGTTGTGGGGACCCCCCAACCATAAAATTATTTTCGTTGCTACTTCATCACTGTCATTTTGCTACTGTTATGAATCGTCATGTAAATATCTGATATGCAGGATGAATTTTCATTGTTACAAATTGAACATAATTAAAGCATAGTGATGAATCACAAAAACAATATGTAATTATATATGTGTTTTCCGATGGTCTTAGGCGACCCCTGTGAAAGGGTCGTTCGACCTCCAAAGGGGTCGCGACCCACAGGTTGAGAACCGCTGGTTTAGAACCTTTCATGGCTCCAACTCAGAGTAAAAGCCGATGTGCACACCACGGCCCATAAGGCCCTGCATGACACCTACCCCATACCCACCCCTGTCTGATCTCATCTCCTTTTCTTTTTTTGTTAATCCTCACCTGGGTTATTTTTTCCATTGATTTTTAGAGAGAATGGAAGGTAGGAGGGAGAGAGAGAGAGAGAGAGAGAGAGAGAGAGATGTGAGACCAGGAATCTAACCTGAGACCCTTAGGTACACAGGCCCAAGGTCTAATCACTGAGTCACATGGGCCAGGGCTCATCTCCTTTTCATTTGCCTCCAGCCACACTGGCCTCTGGCCCTTCCTCAATTCCTCAAATACTTCCCAGGCCTGGTCCTGCCCCAGGGCCTTTGCATTTACTTTTCCTCCCGGCAGGAATGCTCTTCCTGCTGCATCCCTCTCACAGTATCAGGTCTGCTCCGATGTCACCTCCTGCAGGAGGCCTTCCCTGACCCTTCTATATAAAGCAGCGCCCCTCCTCACTCTCTCCCCAGGACCCTGCTTGGTTTCAGCTCGTGGCTCTGGCAGAGTTTATTTCTTTATCCTCTGTCTCCCCACTAGAATGCAAGTCCCACAAGGGCAAGGATCTTCGTTTTGTTCAGTGATGGCTCTTCAGGGCCTGGCACACAGCAGGCACTCAGTAAGTGTGGAGTCCATACTGATTAAGTCTTTGCATTGTGTGAATTCAATGAGTCAGTGCATGCAAAGAGAAGAGTTGTCGATGACTTCGAAGAGCTGATGCATTGGGAACAGACTAAATAAACAGATAATGATGATTATCACCATTCTTACTTATTTCCCTACAAAGAGCCTTCTGATCGCATGTGGGAGAGAAATGAGAGGGAGAAAGTCCAGAACAAGGGGAAGAGCCAGAGAAGGGGAGAGGTTGAGAGGTAAGAGGTGGGGAACGAAGAGACAGGAGGAGAGGCTGGAGTTGGGGGGAGGGCAGACATTGGTGCAAGCATCCAGACCCCAGCGCATGGGCTTGGCAAGTCCTTGTGGGTAAGAAGCATTGACATGGCCAGGGCACTGCCCACTTCCATGCACTTGGGGACCCTGAGCTCCAGGGAGGGGGGACCTTTCTGAGGGCGTCTGCAGCTCAATTATGTGCTGGGAACATGACTGTCATGATCTCAATGCACCCTCGTGCCAGCCCTATGAGGTTGGCACTGTCATTTCCACATCTTATAGGCCAGCCGTGTGCCCAGGGTCTCCTGGCTGCCACCGGTGGCAGATCTGGGTCAGACTGCACTAGGTCAGGCCCCAGAGTGTGTGCGCTTAACCAAGACTGAGCTGAGGGCCCTTGACCGGAATCAAACCTGGGACTCTTGAGTCCGCAGTCCGACGCTCTATCCACTGAGCCAAACCGGTTAGGGCCATTGTATGTATGAACTCGTGCATTGGATTCTCTGGACAATCTTATGAGAGCGGTGCTTTTATTATCCCCATTTGACCGATAGAAAACCGAGGCTCAGACCCATAAAAACTCCATGTGCCTGAGGGCACCAGGGGAAGAGTGTGTGGACTGGGACACAACTGGCATTTCAACAGGAAAGCAAGCTCGGGCACCTACATTCTAGCCATATTCTGCCTGGTAACCGGTGATGTCATCAGCCCTAGTTAGGGCTAACTCTACCTGGCAACTAACGATGTCATCATTCCCACCAAGGATCTAAACTGGAGATGTCATGAATTCTGCTCAGTCTCTGGGGTCATGGATGACATCACTGAATGATAACATTACGCTTCCTTCCGCTGAGGGTGGTCTATGAACTGGACGCCTGTACAAAGCACTGTAACAGTTTCTGATATTTCTTTTCCTTTTTTCTGCATT